TTATTTTTTGTTTGAAAAATCACTGACATAATATATTTTAATTTTAATTAAAATAAACTTTATCAAAAATCTTTTTTAAATGTAATTAATTTTTTGTAAATGTAAGTATTTTTTTTTTTGTTATATTTGTTTAATTTTATAGATCTAAATACTTTTTGGTTCAAAAAATATTTAGGGGCTTAATCGTTCAAAATATGAATGTTCATTGCGTTTTTTTCCGGATTTTTTTCACTATTTTACCACTTTAACTAGTTGTACAAGTCATAAGAATGTATCCAACATGTTTTATAAAAGTTCAAGAAGTTATTTAACATGTTTTGGATTGTTTAAAGACTTATTTGTTCCAAAAATTGTCCAAGAAGTTATTTAACATTTTTTGGAATGTCCAAGGACTTATTTGTTCCAAAAATTGTCCAATGACTTATTTAACATTTTTTGGAATGTCCAAGGACTTATTTGTTCCAAAAATTGTCCAATGACTTATTTAACATATTTTGGAATGTCCAAAGACTTATTTGTTCCAAAAAATTGTCCAAGGACTTATTTAACATGTTTTAAAATGTCCAAGGACTTATTTGTTCCAAAAAAAGTCCAAAGACTTAATCATTCCAAACAAGAAAGTCCATTGGTTTTTATTGTACTTTTCCCTTTTTTTTTGTCTCTCATTAATCGGAGAAACCTATCATTAATTCAATAAAACATTTTATCTTTTTTATTGATAAAAATATATAAACAAAGTTAACCCCTAGTTTATGAAAGACTATATTTCAAAATCTTACAATCAATATATCGTGAATATATTATCAAAATCAAACTTTTCATCTTTCATATTTTTCATTTTATTTCAAACATCTTTTTGTTAAAAAATCAAAATACCCCATTAATTGATCAAACTTTTCATATTTTTTTATCGTTATTATCTTGAAACAATATAACAAATAATGTCAGTTAAAAAACAACTTGTTATAATCAGTACATATATATATCTATATTATCTTATTAAACAAATTTAACAAAAATCTTAAAGTCTTAAAATACTAAATGACCAAGATACCCTTTTATACTACCCTTAGTCACTTTTTCATCTCATCATCTCCTCACATATACTCACCCTCTCCCGATGTTTTTAAATTTATAATTTTAAATTTACATTTTATACCCTTATAATTAGTTAATTATTTTAATTTACGTCCTTTACTTTTAAATGTTTCATTTTAAACTTTTATCAAATTAACATACATAATCGTATATCAATTAAAACATGTTTAAAAAATACA